CACCACTAACCAAGGCGCATGATGAAATTGCTTCAGCCACCGATCCGAATACGCGCGGTCATCGCACCAACTGAAACCATCCGCAATGGATGAGGGAGCAGCTAAGTTTTATCGTTATGCCATGACATGGCATCTGCGTCCTCTAAATACTTTGACCTTATTCGCCAAATTCACTTATCTTATAGTAATAAGAATGGCAGCACTTCTATTGAATGCCATTTTACAAGCGTTGCACAAATAACTATGCAACGCGGATCGGGCAAGTTGTGGACACCAAAACTTCTGAGGCTTAAATATTGCTAGTAGAGGTTTTCGGGTGTTAGGAAATATTCACGACGGTTTCGACCGTAAATCTAAAAGCTCAAGCAATCAAGATGCTTTTCATAACGATAACGTCTCCTTCTCATCTAATGGTATCCCAATATAAATAAATTTAGAACTTAGTCAGGCTTTAGCTGACTTACGACTTTTCATAAAAGGCTTTAGAGTATCTACGATCCAGATTCCGAGATTGCACTGAGTCTCTGTTTCCCGGAGCGTCATCCCATATATGTCAAACTCACGCAGGTGGTGCAATGAAATTTGCGTAGAAACGGGTAAAGAGGCACTTGGAGCATTTGGATTTATAAACAATTCTCAATCGTTGTGACATTCTGGCCAGCTCTGGGATAAAAAGAAAAGAATGGTGCCAGCGCGAAGAAACTTGCATTGTGGACAGAATCGATAAAGAATGGGCATGTTTTCCGGGAAATTTTAGTAGTCAGACGCGAGACGCACCACCGAACCAGTTGACGGAAGCGTTGAAGTGTCCCGAGTGAGAATGTATTCACGACAGGCTTGCATTTGATTGACTGGAAAACATACAGAACCTCATTGAGTCAGCGATTGACCAGACGCAATTGCAGCATCATGCGCAGTCTTGCAATGTCAGACGAACCGGATACCAACTGTGCGTGTGTGTAAGTATGCGCCAGATATAGATAGACAACAAAGGACGTTGAGTATGGGGTCGCTGTACGTCTACTACCCTTATTGAAATACTTACTTGCATCTCTTAGAAACATCCCTTCGTTCACTGTTACTTTCAAAACCTACTGATCAAACATTTGCATGAGGAACATCTAGTGTCACTTATCGCTCAAACACCTGATAAAGCCAAGAGATTTAATTCCTTACGAGACTGCTAATGGAACACGTGATTTGAACGAATGTCCGCGGAGGTTATTTGTAGTGGCGAGTTGAAAAAAATCGTCACACCGAAGAATGCAGTCATACGCGATAAGGAGAGTTTGTATGAAGTGTCCAGGCAACTGCCTATAAGTGAGAGAATAGAATTTAAGGTTATCCAGGCGGGTCTCCTAAGGCAGTGTACTTTGACCTCTTACTAGTTTTATGGCGTGCCCCTACACCCATTTGAGGAAAGTACAATCCAGCTGCGTCCATGGTGTCCACGCTTGGATTGCATATTCATGCTGCGGCCTAACAAACGTGCCAGACTTTGGAGAAGCATTTCTTATCGAAGACTGTGAATTCCCGTCTGATGGCGTGCAACACCGAAGTTTAGGCTTTAGCTCACTTGCGACATTTTATAGAAGGCTTTAGAGTATTTGCAATCCAGATTTCGAGATTGCACCGAGTTTCTGTTTCCCGGAGCGGCATCCCATTAAGAAAATATTGCCGCGCATCATGGATCTGATTTCGATTCCCGAAGCGCAGTATCGTGCATTTGTTCAAACGAAAGGACAAGAGCCATCTGCGGGACCGATCGTCCAATCGGAAACGATTTTCTTGACTCGTTGGCAGCATCGTGAATGACTTTCCATATTTTAGTATCATCTGCGAACATGGCACAATCACAGTCCAACCTACCTACACAATCATTGATGAAAAAGAAAAAGATGGTCGGTGGGAGCACTGAGCCTTGTGAGACTCCAATCTCTAGGAATGTGCGCCTTGATTGCGGCTGTTCTATACAGAGAATTCGGAGACGGCCGATGACGAAATTCTCGATCCATTTGAGAAGTTTGTCGCCGATGCCCATGACTTTCAAATTGTACAGGAGATGCCGGTGCGGAACACTGCCGAACGCCTTCCGGAAATCAATAAAGGCCACATACACAGTGTGTTTTGCATCCAGTACTCTTGTCCAACGTTGCACTGCGTATAGGAATTTAGTTACGCAAGATCTTTCCCTACGAAAGTCGTATTGTGCCCTGGACAGATGGTTGTGGGTTTCGAAGTAAGCCATCGACCCCTTTTTGATGATATTCTCAGTGACATTGCGGCAGATTGATGTCAGACTGACGGGATTATAGTTCGTCGCAAGAGCACGACTATCCCTTTCGTCAGGCGTCTTAGTGTGAATATGTGGGATGTATTCGAGCATAAAATAATGCCTGGCACAGACGAATAGCGGATTGGCCAACTCACTGGAAAGTTCAGAAAGTAGTTTTTTGGTGATCTCGTCCGGGACGGAAGATGTATATTCCTCCAAGCTTTTCAGTTGTCAGAAATCGTCTTCTTCTCGAAATACAATATTTTTAATAACCGGATATATCTTGCTCTCAGCAGTAGGCGGAGTGAAAACTGCTTCCTTTGTGAAAACAGATTAGAAAATCAGAGGAAAATGTCCAGCTTTTTTAGCACAGTCCGATATCTCCAAACCGTCATAATTCCACAGGACAGGAATCGGATTCCTGTTGCGGGTGATTAACGCAAGTAGCTGAAGAGCAATTTCGGATTTTTAATGGCTTGGTGGAGCAAATGACTCTCGAAATCTCGTCGTCTCTTAAAAATTAAGTACTCAACCATGTTTTTTTGCGCTTTATGTTCTGTATAGGCCGTATTATTCTAAAGAGATAATATTCCCGTTCTTTCTGTTCAAGGGATTAAACTACCCTTGGTACCTAAAGGAACACCGATTAGAGAGAATTTTAGAGCCCCCAAAATGGGCAAAGAATAAATGACCTATATAAAGATAAATTTGTTAAGAATACTTCTAATTAAAATGTCAATAGCTTCCAATAAACTCTTCAATCGGCTGTATTTAAGTGATGTCGGCGGGTTGCGGCCCCGGAAAGCGATATCAAGCCTTGGAATGCCATTTGCAAAAATACAAGTCTGTACTTCGCATGCTCTTTAGTTAAGTAAATCCTTTTCCATGGATAACTTATACTTTTTACCATACTACGAGCTTGTTTTTGGGTAATTGTTATCATTTAATGGTGTATCTTGAGGTGAGGTAGACAATAATTCGGAAAATCCGACAAGTCCATGCTCATACCAATGTTGGAACTTCTGCATTTTGAACTGTAAATCTAAGATTCTGAATCGATTCGACACAGCCTACCGAAAAGATAAACTACAGTTGGCAAAATTATGGTAGAAAAATATGCCGGCCGACAGTAATGAGTACAAAAAGATGGCATATGTGGCTTATCTTCTAAAAAATGAGTGGGGTTTTCTGCGAAAATGGAATTGCCGATTTTAGTTTTACATTCCTTTCCGGTTATCCCTCTAAGCGAGAGCGCATCTAAGTGTGAACTTAGACATTGATTTCAAGACGATACAACTACTGCCCTGCGCGAAATCTTGGACAAAGTTATCCTGAAACATTCATACCACTTACCTGACAGAGACATTCGGTGAGCCGAATTTGCTAACCAATTTAAAGTCTGCCTGTCGAAGTCATCTGAGCAACGTTTACAAAAGTTTTTTTCTCAACCACATGCGTTGCCACCAGCCCCCACCCCCCACCCCCCACAATATCCGTTTGCTCACTCAAGCCCCAAATACTGGTCATCGTCGTAGACTTCATACGACGTAATATGAGTGGTACCTGTGGAAATGGTTCTAAACATTGGCTTAGCATTTTCATATTCGTAGTCAGAGCATAGTGTTCATATGATTATGAAAGCCACCTTACAAATTCCCTGTTTTTGCTAAGCCACTATGCCCGCATGGTAATCAAGGAACGTGCGGGGTTGTTCAGTATAAATTTACAAAGATTAGAGGATAGGAGAACTAGCTGAGCTTCAAAGGGCGGCCATCAGATGTGACGTAGCATGAGGAATGATGAAACATGTAGAAACTTAGCGGTACCCTAAGCGATAATACCGAACGGATAAGATAGGAAAAAGAGCCCAGTGTAGGAAAACTGAAACAACTACATGTGAAGAGAAATCATGAAGAATGAGAAAAACGGAGATGCGACAATAAAATGCAGGCAGATTATCTTCACAACTGATGCCAGGGCTTTAGTATGCACAACGTAGGAAGTCTGTAAAAGTTTTGAACTCGTGTGTAAAAAGCGGGATTGCTAGGTAAATGAAAGGGCATAATTAACTCAAAGAGGAAAATGAACCAACAACAAATGAAATAATGCAGACGTCGAAATGGAGAGACAATGCACGTGAAAGCGCAGAAAAGGGAAAGTCGACGACACTTTCATCAGACAAATCAAAACCACCTGCGGGAAACAAAACGACTAGCCGTCCCATGAAATATCCCTGATTACGGCCACAACAATACAATCAAGCAAAATCCTTCCCAGAAGTGCATATTTTAATGATGTTAATCATCCGGATTAAAAAATGAGGCCTGAATAGTTTATTTGTCCCGGTTTTCCATATGACATTAGGAGATATGACATTCCGACCTGGGCATATGCGATTTTTTATATTTTCGTTTGAACACCCTAAGGACCATCCGACTTTTCAAAAGTTTGTGAGATTTACTTTCTGACATTGCGTATGTGCGCTGGGTGACTTAGGATTAACGAGTTCCGTGTTATTAAAATATGTGGCAGCTTCAGAATGAAGTTGATACGTGTATCTCAGAGCTTTATGTATGCGTCGTTTTCAGTTCATTTTCGTAGTGTTCTGACGCTTTACAAGGACAATTTGGCATGTTATCATCAGAAAACTCCGATATTATAATAAACTCGGATATTTATCGCTTGCAGCGGTTTTGGATTGACTTTGCTGGTTTTGTAAGCCTTTATGGTTATTTTATTTTACAAGAAAAACAAAGTTCTCGAGATTTTCATTGATCGCCTCTCATCAATACGACAGGAGAGTGTTATAACAAAAATCCTTTTGTCCATCGACTGGTGCATTGAAAAGGAGTACTTCACTCCACTGTCTGTTTATTTTGGTTTCTAATTCATTTGTTTAGTGACATTGCGAATCGTTTGCTCTCGGAAAAACTCAGAGTGGATAATCCGGAATACTTTAGATGCGCATACAAATTCATCATCAAGCTTGCGTTCTATATAGATTACAAGGCAAGTTTTCGGTCTTTCTGGTGACGTCTGCAGGGTAACCGCCAGCTGTTTAACAAGCTAATCGAAAAGTCTGGTCAGTTTCCACCGTCTATTTGCGGCTCGTCCGTGAGTCGTGCTATTTGGCCTGCAATTGACGTAAGCCACTGTCTAATGCATGATGCTGTCAGTTTTTTCAAGTTCTACTTTGTCGGGAAATCAACCTTTTACCAGCCTATCTGGTCATGTATGAGTTGAAGACTGCTTTTCCCCGAGAGGGTACTTCGAGGCCACATCCGGTAGGCAGTGTTTCCAGAATCAGTTTACACTTTAGTGCATTCAAAATGATGTGGAAAAGTTCATGGACAGTTTTGCGCCCGCAACAAGACTAATTTACTCATACTGTAAGTAACTGTGCCTCACCTCGCATGCCTTTTCTGTTGCTAGATTTCTAAAGCAATTTTCATTTTAAAAACTACGATACATGTTCATTCCTATTTAAAACTGGCACAATTAAGTGGTGCTTTTGCTTCCGGCAACTATTATGTGCAATTACGTTTTTATCGACAAATCTTTGACGGGACAGTTGCAACTGTGCTTGCATTACCTACGTTGATGGGGCTTGGTTTCACAAAGATAACATCAGAAACGCCTGCCGATTTTCGTGACCACCCACCACCACCTCTTATGAGCAAAATGCATATCGAATAGATGACGTTTATTATTATCGCAAATTAAGATAGTTTCCTAAATCCTATGAATTTCATTGATAGTATTTTGCTGGTATTTTTGACTAAATTTTATCGCCAGCTAGATAGTACAGCTGAAATCTGCAAATTCAGGTGCGTGCATGTCCCCGAGTCTCATCGGTAAATGATTGTTTATTAAGTGGGATTGAATAAAGGGTCTATAGGTTGACCGCACAGTGATGTCAGTTCCGCATAAGAATTCTGCACCCAGTCGAATATTTGCAAACGACGTTTGCGGAGTTAAGCCTTTTTCCAAGTAAATATGTATTCTGTTCAACCAGGTCAACCACTATTAAGTCCCTATTTACAAAAAGTCGAACAGAAATTCAAGTAACTTGTTGAACAAGCACACCCGGGATGGTTGATTTTCTTACTGTTTCGCCACCGCCTTTTGCGGTGTCTGTGGGACTGACAACTGCTTACGTTGTAAATCATAATTTCTTTATAGTGTTGTTTAGTTTCTGTGAGATTGTTAAGTATGGCGGCTCCTCTTCCCTTCCGTTAGGTGGTCTTGCTATCGGTCAGTATCTAGTACATTTTCTTACGTTCAGTATGGCGTCTTATGCTGATCCTTTCGTAACTAATGATGCGGGACTTTGTACGCCGGCGTTATGTGTATACACCTACAGATGGATTCATCATCTTAGCATCATGTCCCAAATCTGTCGTTCTGTCCTTGGACCGCCTCGGCCTAATATGGACAGTCCATTAATCTCAAATCTGTGACCAGTTTTTCCAGAACTCATTCGATCTTCGGGTCTAGGTGTGACCTCCATGTTGTCAATTTTGTGCAGTTAGACCGGCCAAAAGGCGAAGGCAACGAACGAATAACATCTATCATCTCTAGGCCAGCTGGTTTGGCAAGTCATTTGAATTTCCGTCCAGCTTAACCTGTGTTACTCTTTGGTCGAGATGTCCTGGCCAAGACATCCGAAACGTCAGAATTCCATTAAATCTGTTTCTGTGAACCCTTCCTCTCCGTTTTGGCGAATCACTTCTCTTACTAATGTGCCCATTCTGCCATAGGTAAATATTGCAACTCCATATGGTTATGGATATTTCATCTGTCGCTCCCAAATCCGTCACACTCACTATTGTTTTCTTTACGGCGATTCGTTCATTTCGGCCGCTTACGAGGAGCATTGAATCTGTTTCAGCATGAGTATATAGAGGTTGATCTTGTGTTATTTATGTCAGGGCTTTGAGAACTCTCAGCCGAAATATCTGCTGAAGGCCCGTTTATAAATATTTTCGTTGCCTCCGGAGGGTGTCAAGTGAACTGCCAAAATACTATAGCACATGTTGGATGGCCGTCATCCATGATATTAGCATAAAAACTGGGGCGATTTAAATGCTTACATTGTATCGCCGATTTTCGTAAAATAGGGCATAGTTCTTGACGATACCTAATAATACCCATTGCCTTCAACGCATAATGCAATGAGGACCCAGGATAAGTCCTTATTATGGAAATAGAAGTATGAGTAAGTAAGGAAATAAGGCTTTTAAATTCGACCTAAACGATGGAAACGCCAACTGCAAAAGATATTACGGAACACATCAGTGTTCATTCACGCGGAGGGAGGCGAAAAAATTATGCTCACAGAGACTTATAGGTGATATTCGGTATGATACTCACTGGTAAGGAAAGTTTTCTGCTCTCTATTGACGTGACAAGTTAGTTGTCACCTAATTCAGCGCTAGACTCAACAAACATCATGCTTGCAAAGGAGTCCCTCGTGGAGCTCTGCGAACCCTCTGGTTTAATAGTCCTCCGATCGCCCAGGTGGCGATAATTTCAGAAGTTATTCGTTGCTTTTTACGTACACCCTGCTGCTAATCAATGGAGATTTTCCGAATAGAATTTTGTGGGCTTTTTTAAAGCCCCTCTAGTCACACAGGCAATGGTACCCCGAAGCAGCGATCTGTGCGCCCCTTACACGTTCTGACTAGTGAAAAGTAAATAACCCCTGGTGAATGCGGCGTCTCCGGTCGAAATCCCACGTCTTCTTCGCATTTGAATATGGACTGACGAACAAGACAGGTACGGTCGTACCTGTTATGCAACTGTCGAACAAGGGCATTATAATTGAGAGTTTTGAACCATTTTCGTCTTTTCTTCCAGATATTAGTCGTTTACCGATTGTCCACCACGGAGTGGCCGTACTGGTGTAACACTTCGCCGGACTCACACTGTACGCCCCAAACACCAAGGTTCCATAGGTGCTCAGAATTAATTGCGTTCCAAAAGCTCTGGATGTTGCGCCGGCTTCAAGTCCTAGAAAGGCTTCTCAGTCAGTTATTTTATCCACTTCATGTCCAAAATTCCATGGAAAATGTCTGCAGACACCACTCTCGGATTTTCTGGGACAAATATCATTGAATGTCATCAGTGACATCTGGACCATTTGACATATTGACATATAGTAAGACTACTGGGATTCACATTCGCCATCTAATTCTGTGCAAAATCATAAAGGGTTTCTTTGTGGACACAAGGGGATCCCATCTAATATTTCGAAGCTTTGATTTAAAAAGTCAAACCTTCTAGCCGGCCTGTTTCATTAAAAGTAACAACAGGATATCACCTTTCGTTACCCAAACCCGCTTGACTTATGGTCCTGTTAGCTGCATTGTCTAGTCCTCCTTTGAGTTTTGACTAAAATTCGACAGTAAATTTTGCTGACAACATGAGACTCGAGGTCGTTTATTATTCTAAGCCTTCTGGCTCTCGACATCGCTGGAAAAAATTGGGCTCCACTTTTTATGAATAATCTCCCCCATGTCCATTTTCCTCCGTATATAGTCAAACAGTCAATGGTCCCGATTGCTGGTATCACTCTGGCAACATCTCCTGGCTTTCAGTTAAATATCGACAATCTTACGTTTGTGTCTCTCAAAAATGCAAAGCTGTATCCTGCCAACATGAATACGAACCAGCTTCCGCTTCTGTGCAGTGTTCTTGGACAGCTGCGCTGTAGAGCTGTGGTCATGGGAATACTTGAAAATATTACGGCCAGCACTGTACGTGTCTCTTCTTTTGTTTGTTTTCGCAGTTCTTGTCTCATCTCATTGCGGCTACCTGCCGAACGTTTCCAAGGAAATGCTTGTTACTTGACGTTTACCCGTAGTTCCCCATGGTGTTGGTCAAATAATCCGAGCCTTTCCTTTTTTTCCTCGTTAGTTTCTCCCCCGTAAGTGTTTGGCCACTGCCTAACTTCCAGAAGTCTTTTTTCCGTAAATTACTATTGACTCCACTACCGGACGTGTGTATGCAGTTAACTAGCATGCACAGCTAGGTTTGTCACAAGGACTGATTTCGCAGGTTTTGCAAATCTAACACCACTTTTGGGAAAATTTTTACCGCTAAAAAAGGAGACTGGCACAACCATTTTGGCTTACTTGACGTCAACTGTCAGTGATACCCCAGGCGCTGGCTGCTCGCCCGAAGATTAGCTTCGAGTCAGTTGGTAATTCGAGCATATTCTCGTCAATGATTTAACGAGCGCGCGCGTCTTGTCGACTGAAATCGGAACGCTCGGAATGCATTGATCGACAGATGCACTCTGTAAGACCGACAGGGCAACGGGCTCGTGGCCCAGTGGTTAGAGACGTGGACTTCTAACTAATAGGTCGCGAGTTCGAGCCTCGGGTGTTCCACACTTCGGGGTTGAGTATTACCGGCTGACGACGGCTAGTAAGCCAGAAACGGCCATTCCAGTCTCCCTTGTCTTTGCTGGTAATGTCATTCTGTCTATCTCATGAGCCGCTGTGCGGCTGCTGGTTGGGCTCGAGAGAGTGCCCATAAGACACAACGGAACGAGTGAGTTCCGTAAGAACGACCGGTGAGCGCCCCCTACCACAAGATATCCCTTCGTGTTGAATTGTAAAGAACTCGAATTGGTTACGTTTTTGCGTCTAACCCGACTCTTCTGCTGACATGTCAGGGCCAAGAGGAGATAGATCTCTTAAAAATCACATAACCTGTTCCACCGACTCGGGAACTGCTTGTGATTTCGCGGCTACGTTTGGCAGATGATGGCAATCTGTCCTTAGGAGGCCTCGTCCAGCTCCTTTTTGCTTTACGGTCGCGGAGCATGGTCTCTTCGCGCCGTCGGCTTGTTAAAAATGGAGGATCCTGGCCCCCCAACGCCTTCAGATAATACTGTGAATTACTGACATCCCCCGCTGAGAATGCTCTTGAGGGCTGTCGTCCCAGACCCCCTGCCTATACTGACGTCCTGCTTGTGGTGAATAACCTAAAATTCGATAAATTTGATAGGCGTACCGGGTCGAAGGGCTTTCGGTGGTTGACAAGGCAACCCCAAGGATATAACTACTGCCGAGGACCTAGCTGACGGTCGCAAGGCATGAGCCACACCAGTCAGGGGTGCCGTATACTTCGACGTCGGTGAGGTCGCCAGTATGACTCTTTATTTGCCTTTCATCTTTTGCAGGGACGAGTCTTTCTAAAATAGGGCATCTCTAATTGCCTGTTTTGGGTACATACTAACAGACGATCGGAAGTCTAACATTTTTCAACACATTTCCCCGCCTTCATTCAAGTTTCGTCACATACATGCTCATCGTTATCATGGTCCGCGCAAATCTGTTGTCTTCCCGTTGATTAAAAAAATATCATCCTTATTCCATCTAGCCGCAGCAGCGGATGAATTCGCGCGGACTGGAGGTCGCCCTGCCCAACTTGATTGTTCAACTGATGGAGATCACGGAGAAGCAGGAGAAACTAGATTGGGTCCTATCTACATTTGAACATCTCGCCGACGTTGTTGTCCAGTTTGTCAGCGATTGCAATATACATCTGAGTCAAGTGCTCATTGACCTGAATTCGAAGGTAGGGAGAGGTTGTAGAATGCTCACTGTATCTTGAAAGATGATGAAAGTTTGCATTTTTGTCACAGCGGACAGTGAGATCATGTACTGCTCTTAGACGATCACTTTACGCCAATGCTAATAAACGTTGATTCCTAAGTAGTACAGTTATCAGATAGGCTCTCATCGTCCGGGTTCGCGGGAAGCTGATGGGTAAGTCCATTCGTCATGCGGTGAAGTGGGTAACATCAAACGAGTTTTTGCCGATTATCGAGGCGAGATGGAACCACGTTCGGATTTAAATAAATGGATTATTAAAGCTGTTGGCCACAAGCTCTTAGGGGCACGGCCGTTCACTGAGCGCTCAAGCCGAGTCTGTACATTTCTCTTCCCAGCTGACGTGCCGTAGTTCACCGCGTCTTTGATTTCATGACAAGTAAAAACTCGATCTATCAGCATACTTCATCCTCCCGCAAGTATTCAAATACTGCATTTGGAAGCATTCGAGTCTAGGTAAACTTTATTGCCACTTTTCTGGACTGTCTGTTTATCTGCCCTACGTGTACCAGCAGTGTTATCGGATCTTAATGCCTGCACACGCAGTTTGCGTGAGCTACTGCAATTGGCTGTCGAGTTTACTTACCTACTTGAAATGTTAAGTGTTAAACATTATTTCGGCAATTCCTCATTGGGAGGGTTCGATTCTAACCTTTGCTAGTGAGGCTTTTCACTTCCGTACCGAAGACAACTTGTCAATGGCTCCCGCCCTTACCGGTGAGTCACTGACTATGATGCCTTTAGCTTGGTCCTCATCGTGATCGTGATCATCGTCTTTGAGATATACTGGTCGCTGGTGAGATATGGCACAGGGAAGCAACCAGTAGCTCTGGGCCTTACAGCAGTTAAGAATACTTAAGTTGGCCGCCAGAGAATTCTCGAAGTCGGCTAGGTTAGGCGTGGTGGATTAGGCCTGATTTCCGGTGAGTGTCATTTACGCACAGTGCTCGAAACCCAGGCGAACCTGCCAACCATATGGTGGCGTTACTAATACTAGCAATCTTAGTGCAACCTGATGTGCATTTACTCACCATAAGCAAGCTGACGCGCCTTTAAACTATCACGATTTCCCATGGCCAGCTAGCGGGATAACTCGGTCCTCCCAGGACAGAAAGCCAGGCGACAGTGGCTCCTTCTTAAGGTGATCTCTATAGCAGTCCCGCTCGGACGAGATCCGGGCAGACTAATTTGTGTTTCTGTAGCTACGCAAATGCCTCATCGCATCATCTGTTCAACAAAAATATGACTGCCGTGCGCGCTACTAGCATACAATAAGTAGGATTTCGGTGACTCGCAACCACAGAAGAATTTGGCGAAGTGTTTAGTCTCATTAATGCGACGTGTTTAGTGATAATATTGACGTGCTTTATTGCCTGAACCTAACTATTCTTTCATCCCCCTTTTCTAGCTTGCCGATCGTCGATGGCCGAAGTCGCGAAACTACGTCATGTGGTTTGCACTCAACATTACGTCTGGTTTCATTGAAAAAAACAAGGTGAGACACTTATCTAACTACCGAGCTTTCTAAATGATTCAAAAACTCCATCAAAAGATGGGGCGCTGGGGCTGGGATTTGGGAAGCTGTCGTCCCTTGGCAATTTTATGGACCAACAAACTGCGATTTTTTGACATCATGGAGGTCTGTTGGCCTCGTGGAGCTCCACCAATTTAAAATCGGAAAATACGATACGTATCTCTAGAATTTCGATTAAAACTGTCTTTAAGTATTTTTAGGAGGCTAAGGTCACAAGGGAAATCCCGAACCAGAATGTAACCGCATTAGAAGCCTCCTTAAATGTGTCGCTTTCAACATTCTCTGCGAAGTATACTGATGCCCTAAGAATGTAATCCTATTTGACACAATTTAGAGATATATAAGTTTGCCATACAGTAACCAAAAGGAGACATACGACTTGCGGATTGATTACTATAAACGAAGTTGTCTGTAATTTCTGATAACTATAGACCTGAAAATTATGAGTACGAACCTTACGATCCTGAGAATGGACTTCTTTGTGGTATGGTGGAATGAGTCTGAGTGGACAGAACTAGAGACACTCCATGAGTTTTCTTGTCACCAGGAGGTAGGCCACCAGTATATATATCTGCAACGACAGAGGATGGCAGGTGGCGAGGCACTGATGAACTTCGGTTCGATGAAGTGCTTATGACCTATTTGGTAGACCCCAATGGTGGACCAGTTGCGCCAGGTGTGCCTGTGCGCTTGTTTGTGTTTCTGGTCCCAGCTAGTGGTCAGGGTTATGGCTGACTGAATGAAGGCAAACAAGCCCGAAACAGTGCTGTACCAATCTATCCCCCAGACTCTGTCGCCTCCCCTCTGCTATCATAGCTTGGCCGACCTCGGCCTGGTAGGTGGTTGCCTGTTCGTGATCCTATCGCCTATACGAAGCTTGTTTGCTTCGGGAAGTCGATGGATCGGTGTGCGCCCACTCCTGAGTGGATATATATTTATATATATGGATATAGGGGAGCTATATATTTTGCTTCATCGGAGTTTCCGTCATAGTGCCTGCGTCTGCGGGAATGCGATAAGGACAGTTAGACAGAACGATGCACTCGCTTGCACTGTTCGTCTTTCAAACTCATTGAAGACCTCTGCTGCCCGATAAGGCGGCGGTGACTTGCTTTTACTTAAAGTTATGGGACGGAAAGACTGCGCATTATCGATCCCAACGCCTCTTTCTTCCGATTGTCTGTCAGTGTTAAGGCCGAGTCAAGCCACCGGAGGATAAGGTAGAGTGTTGTTATGGTGTGCGGCCAACACTATTTTGTAGGCCTTCTCGAAGTAGCCCTTACTGGAGCAGAATGTTAGGACCCATGTAACTTCAGCGCCGTCTATTTTGGGTTGCTTGTACCGGCACTATTGATTTAACAAAAAAACCTCGAAATAGGGCCATCATGACTTCTTCCCTGAGGTATGCCACTCTCTCTCACCCACTGACCTGTTTAATGGTACCTACTGGATCGATTTCAGTAGCTGTGATTGCGTTTTCATTATGCTTCTAAATTCACGCGCACGCTGTATTACCTGTATCAGATTCATTTTATTGGTACTATCATGGGCAGATTTGCACCGTTAACGATGACAATGAGGCTTACCCTATGTCAAATTTCATAGAAGAGGTAGTTGTCAACCGTGCCCACATAATCCACAATTGTACCTACTGGCTTGATTTCAGTAGCTATTATTACGTTCTCATTATGCTTCTAAATTTGCATGCGTGCTGTATTACCTGTAGCAGATTCATTGTGGTGGTACTGTCCTCGGCACCGTTAACGATGACAACGAGGCTTTCCCTACATCAACTTTCATAAGAAGAGGTAGCTCTTGACTGTCTCATTCATTTTACAGGTACTATCTTGAGCGGATTGGCACCGGTAACGATGGCAATGAGGCTTACCCTTTATCAACTTCATTAGCAGAGGTAGCTTTCGACTGCCTCATTATTTGCGGATTTTCTCTTCCGCCCAAACCAATTTTTCGCATAAAAGTCTTACCCGGCTTGCGTTGTGGCGTTCCGCGTGCCGCTGCCTGACTCTCGTGTTCTTCTGTCCATTATGTTGGATGGAGTTTTATCGCACACACTGCGGAATGACCTTCGGACCAGTTGCCTTCTTCCCATTGGTTGTTCGCCTTCACTTGCTTTTCTTTCCAATCTGAGGCTAGGATGCATTTATTCCGCACACCGTTCAAAGTCTCCTTGCTCATTTCCATACCTTCCTTGTATTTTCACCTAATCTAAATTAGGCTTCCACTTTACCAGGAGCGTCAATTCCTAGCATATTCTACAATCGCCAATTACCCGTCCACTCAATTGTCCCACCCGTATAGCCCCTATTACCACCGGTCCCGATTGACAGGCAGCTTTGAGTTTGCGGTGTCAGGAGGGCTACCAACTATCATCTAACCGATGTTTTGTAAATCTTCATTCGTATACCCTCAAAACGTGCAGGCTATCGTTGCCCTCCCCCCGAACAGCGGTGGCTGTTGTCACTTTGCGATGGACCACTTACCATTCTGGTCACGCCCTATAATTTTGTCTAATGCAAATATGTTCCTAGTCAATGGAGAAAGACTGCAGTATATTAGCATGCATGAAATCTGATAATTCTTGAGAGACCATGCCTCTTTCAGAATTCCTTCTGAAGCTTTAGCCTGTGCATATGTATATTGTGTTTGACTGTCTGCTTACGACACTCCTTTCGTCTGTCGTTTTTGTCAGTTGACCGACTTTGTGCCCTGTCTGCGCCTCTTTGATATCCTCTACCCCGAGGCAGAGGATCTCCAACTAGTTGATTCCTGCGCCGGTGAACCGCCCCGCGCCAAGAGGCCCCGTCTGGCCTCCACCGACGACGATGACGAGGGCAGCGGAAATGCAGAGGACGATAGCAATGACGCCTGCTGGCTGGATGAGGCATTCTCCTCGGAGGAGAGTGAAGACTCAGACGATGAATTCGCCTTCTTCAGTGCCCAGCTATCCGGAGAACTTGAGGAGGATGATGAAGGTTCGAAAATGTTCGTAGGCTCTGTCTTCTGTTGGTGCACTTTTTGCGCCAGGTCACTGAGTGACTTCGACAAGCAGTCCCAACTACCTGCGACGACCACCGCTACCACGCTGATCCATTTCCAGTACGGACTCCCACCTGGAAAGCTCAGGCAGATGTTTCGGTGATATTCCGCAACCGCGCATCAGCGGGTCACTGTGCAGATCTGTTTGCCGTAAAACGGGCTACGCGGTAGATGCGCTGGACCAACACGAGGGCCACTTCGGATTCTGGCAGGCGTCTTCGGGAATGCACGCCCATAACATTCGGGGGGTGTGATGGCAGACCCAGTTGCCGGCTCACGTCACACCAATTGGGATCCCTGTGGCCCCCATGTTTGTTGTTGGTTAAAATTCTGGTCAAACATCTGTTCTGGACCAGGGAGTGTAATGATAGAACTAGATGCGGGTCTTGCCGTTCCAGTCACCTGCGCCCCCTCCCGACTCCGGTCTTCTGAATTATGTCTCCATACCGGAGAGTTTCAGTCCCCTTTTCGTTTTTGCAGATTTCGACCTTACTGAAATAGAGCATCTTAAATGGGAAGCGCTGCGTACTGACACAGTACTTTCTCCTTTGCTTGGTAACGTAAGCTAACCATAACGGTAGCACCCGATCTCGTGTATTCAGCTCCAGATAAGACGTCGTCTATCCTGCAGCCAGGGTAAGGGTCCTTGGCTTAACTGATGGGTGTTTAGTCTCATCAATTAACTGCGCTCAGGCGGAAGCTTGGATCCTCCAGGCCTGTGTAGTTAACGACGCCGAGTAAATCAGAAGCGGACATTGTGGTCTCGCGTGTCCTTACTGTTTGCTTGTGGCCATACGACCGTCCACGCAAGCTATAGATTGGAAATTCAAGCTTAATAGGAACGCCAGTATCCCAGCCTCCAATCAGGTCATTCTAGCCTTGACGAATTGATTTTTGTTGCTGGTGGCAACGGTCGGTTGATTGAAACGTCCATAATTCGGCCTTATCTCCCACACCCACCCCCGTACTTCTAATCTGCTGTAGATGCATCCACCACCACCACCACTGTGCAATCGCGACCTCCGAGACGTCGCCGTCGCCGGCACACGGCCCATCTGGTCGCGGCACCGGCCTGTCAGTGGCTGCAGGTTATGCAAAACAGCCGTCTGCACAGGTCCCACCTGCCGCGTTCTATGCCACCGGCTCTCAGTCCGCTGGAGTCCCAACTGTCCAAGTACTTCTCCTATCTCACCAACGCCTCCGCCAGTGCACCTCCCAATGACATGGGCCAGCTAACCTGGTCGAAGCTACTTGTCACCCTAAATGCCTGTAAGTAGCCCAATACTCCTCCCGCCCCCCCCCCTTCACCTTCTCTCCAATTTGGTGTCCGTCGAGGGGAACAGGACAACAACGAAAGCACGAGTTAGCGGTGTCTTGTGGCCAGGTTGTCCGCGCGAGGTGGTCGTGTCTTCTTATTCCTATTTCTTCTGCACATTTTTAAAATGAAATATGAACCCATTAGGTGATTCGTTTTTAACGTAACATGGTTCCCTTGTTGGTTCTCCCTAAACACCAGGAGAGCTTGCACATTTTTTGCGCGAAACGCGAACCGAGCTGATATGCATACATCACTGGCTCGCGTACAGCAGTCCTACCCGTCGAATACTCGACAACTTGATGAAGCGTTCTGCTCAGGTTCTTACTGTGTCCCAAAGAAATTGGCTGACATAGATAGTAGTGGGCTTAGACCTAGGCTTGTCCCCGCCTAGTCCTCATGCTTATAACGAAGCTCGCAGGGTGGCTGCGAAGTAAGCTCTTCTATTTAATCCTGTCCGTACATGGAATTTAAATAAAACCTCCTCATTCATTGGGTGGACGGCCTCAGCGACGCAGTTCCTTCTCAGATGTGGCATATCCCATATTCACCCTTCGGCGGATGCTGTTAAGTAAGGAGACATATAGTACATCCCCGACATAAGCAAGGAGCGCAACTTTGCTCTGTCCTGTAATCAGGCCGCACCAGTGGTCACTTCACTTCTTCCTATGCTGTCTGATCGTCATCACGTGTAATTGTTTTGTAAATCTCCTCTGAGTCATTGCTTTCAACTCTTCTCTCCTTCAGACTCAGCAGATGAGAGGTGCGGTGAACTGATTGGTATCCTAGTGAAGAACTTTTGGCCAGACACTCCACTCGCCACGGCGAACACCGATGTGGCAAGTCACCCACAGAACGTTCAGCTCCAAAAATTTGGGGGTCTTTTCGAGAATGCACTCATTCGCCTGCCCTATGGTGTGGTTGCCAGTGGTCCCGTCAAACCCCTGCCCAATCACCTAGTTCGCATGATGTCCATTTATCTGCGTTTCCTGTGAGTCACAGTACACCGCCCCCTCTCGTCCCTACCGTTAGTCGTGGCAGGAACTTGAGTTTTTTCGACATCACAAGTATATACTTTCATATGTGTTAGTAAATTAGAGTACTTGTCTGATAGCCTACTGCAATAAAATTCAAATTTGTCACTGTTAAGAATACTACTGACACAGAAATGTTATACCTGTTACTCACACTGCCTGTACTTTTCCGGGTTCCTCCCAAAGGTCAGTTTGTGTGTGGTAATGCTGACGATGATCAATATTGCCTTCTTCCTCTTCTTCTTCTTCTTCTTCCTCCTCCTCTTCCTCTTCCTCTTCTTCTTCTTCTTCCTCTTCTGCATGATCCCCATTTAGGCGTTCCAGTGCGATCGATGCCGCTATCGCATCTGCCGAGCCAAATATTTTAGAGGAATAGATTATGCCAGTGTTAATGGCCTCTTGACGAGGTCCCTTATCACTTGCCACCCAGCAGGTCCACTAACGCCAGCTTCAAGTTTTCAGTACTTGTAACGGCACTGGGGTTTCGAACGTTTATCCTCGCCATCTGTAGGAGACTTTTCTGCCCAACGTAGACAGTATCCTCTGAGCACTCTGTAAAAGCCATCGTTATTATGATCATCAATGTATTTTCTTAATTGCTAGTCAGATTTTCATTTGACTGACACTTCTACCGTCTACACCGTCAGTACCTTGTCAGTCGGTTTATGCAACTGACATGACTAACTACGCGCGTTCCTCTTACCCTAGAGTATTCGTCTCCCTATTGGAATTGATCAACCTAAAATCGGGACAAATTGCGACGCCGGCCAGTCTGGAGACATTCTGCCGTCTCTTCTCCGCCCATGGTCTCCTCACTCATCGGGCCCAGCCTCAGTGTAAGGTTCTGCAATCTCTCCCCCCCCCCTGTGCCTCAGCCATTTCTGAATGGTTTTTGTTAGTTAGGAAGCTGGGCGAGAATTGGATAGGTAGTCCCACTGAGAAAATAAACTACAGGGGCCCCTGTAATAGGGCCAGGGTGTTAATATTAGTTTATCAGTAGGGCAGACGGACGCGGCAATTAATGGAAGGCAGTGAAAAATCGCATGCCTGTCGTACGTTTGTTTTCTTATTCCATCAGAGCGCCGAAACTGACTGGACAATTGGAAATGGGCGAATTAGAGACGTGTTAACGGCGGAAAACAGCCAGCCCAAGGTTGTTGCTCAAAGAAGGCTGGACTGGGTAAGAAGCCATGCGCCAGGCAAACTCACCCTAACAGTGCACTTAATATTTCCCGGCCTGGACAGAAACGTGGCCATAATACAACATGCCTACCTAAATTTAATGAGCAGACAAGTTATCACGGTAAAAAAACAGGGCTCCCCCAATGTCGCCTGATGGCGGCATATAAGGGTTATTTCGAACACGTAAAGTTTGCGCGGCCGGCGTAGACTGAAGGTAGATATCAGGTCTTTAACCGGTGCTGTTATTTAGATGACCGAGAGCTCCAATAATGTTGAGTTTAATTATGTTGGCTTCCTGCGAAAGTGCTAGTCCGCCAAGTTATTTGCAGACATGAAATATTGCCGAGACGGCCTCGCGACCTTTCAAGCTTTACTTTACTCACTGTCTGTTCTCTAATTACGTCAGTCTTAAGCGTTCTAATGAGTTACGCCCGAAGTCCTCGTCGCCGTCTGTTATGCAAAGAACGCACGCCGATCCAATGAGTTACTGGGCGGAAATGTACTCTCTAGTTTTTTTTTCTTATTTCATGATGCCGTAAAAGATGGTATTCATTCAACTGTACACGAGTAAGCTGGTGTCGCTGCTACTATGATTCGCCACCCTCCCCACTCCACTCCTCGAACTGTTTTCTGTTCATGAGTAGGCGTCGTATACCGCGCGAAATCTCCTTTTCTAAAGTCTTAATCGAGTTTGTCGAAGAATTCGTGGTTAGGCGATTGTTGTGGCCACCGAGGATATTAACGATCAGTGTCTGCTATTGGAGACGAGGCGAGACAAGCTGTTGCAATTGGTATCCTCGCTGACCTTGAAACTTATTCGCCAACCCTATTCCCGCATACCACAATCATCCCTCTAACCGTGCGTAACCTACATTAACTTGCCTACCCAGTAGCATTTTCGTAAAGGTATGGCCGCGTATCCGGTCGTGGCCCTTCCGCGGGTGGCGAATAATGAAATGCTTCTTTGACATTCCACTACTGTTGGGCACTCGTGAATGCAGTCGTCCAAAGCGGATCTCCCGTGCTGCGTGGGTATAACGCCACAGCAAAGATTGGACTTCCATAGGCGCCTGCGGTTGGCCGTCTGGTCAGTCAACTGTCACCATGCCTGATCTGCCTTTCTATAGCTGGTCTGTTTGAATGCCGTAATGTTCACGACTGAAGGACCAGAAGATTGTTGCCACCCAATCGGCCACTGCCAAAGTGTTGTCACTAACCGGTCGAGGACGAGTGAGAGTGGAGACCTCCCAGAAGGATAATCTCAGACGATAGGCTCGACGGAGCTCTGAAATTACTTTGCGTTAAATGTCCTTGTCTGCGGCGCGCAAATTCGTGAAACGCGGTAGCCTGTCGGAAGTTTTTGTCCGTCTTTCCGCACACACCCTCTGTCTAGTCATGCCCATCTGTCTCTTTCTCCTGGACACAGTGGGATCAAACGCTGCTATGCAGACTCACTCGCCGTGCTTAGCCCAACAAGCACACAGAGACGAGGGGCTTCGAGTGTTTCCCAAGAATCGTAGTCGGCTTTGAGCATTTACACACCATAGGACAATTAGATTTTTGTTCTTTTTTTACCTGCTGTTCTACTTGCTGTGGCAAATCGGATTTACACCTGACGTGATCGTTCCTGTCCACGGCCTCCACACTCATCGGGTCCAGTTACGGTGTGAGGTTTTGCGACCTCCCTCCACCGCCTTCCCACCGTGCTTCAGCCATCTCTGAGCGCTCTTTGTTAACTAGAAATCTGTCTGATGGGGGGTATATAAAGGTTGTCCAGGACGCGAAACTTGTGTTGCCAATGTAGGCCAGATGAATAAAGCAGATCTCCAAGTGGTGGTGTTTTTCAAATGACCCAAATCCTCTTCATAAAATAAGCTCATTGAGTAATTTTTTTAATTTCTTGCATGCCTCCCACTACTGTCCTCCCCGGCCGTCCCCTGTAGTCAGTCTTCGTCCGCTGATTGAGAAGAAGTGCTTCGCCATCCCCCTCTACCGTTCTGCACTTGAGACGTCCACGAGTGTTACGCCTGCTGCTGCTGCTGCCCCTGGTGATGGTGGAATCGCAGAACAACATGACCCCCAACAGCCACAGGCCCCCACGGAACCCTCCGAGGACGCAGTTAACTCTCTCGTCTCTGCGGTCACTTTCATTGACATGATTGGCCACAGGCTAACGAAGGATCCGCTGATTTATCTGGGCAACATTCTGTGTCTACCGCACTACCGCAGGCAATTTTTCGCAAAGACTCAGCAGCAGCAGATGGGTGCGGACGGTTCTTCAGCAACAGAGGAGTTGACTTCGAGCGCTTCCGACGGCGAGCTCCCGCAGGAATTAGCCTACATGTGAGTGTCCTAACACCGGATTTTTCCGAGATATTGTCATGCTCGCAATTCCTCGCTATCTCTCACTACTTTTTTCCGGGCCAATTCTCCGTTAGCTTTTTTTTAGTTTTCTGCCTACCTTGCCTTTGGACAGCAGGGTTAGGAGCTCGGACCCCTCTTGAATTTCATATGTAGAAGGTGGGGCACCCCGTTACTGAGTGATCTACATCTGCCTCCACTCAGTCCTTAAGAAGGATTTACTCACGTGTCTGTGTGTACATTTAGTACTCCCACATTTCGGGCAGGTTAAAAAACGCCGATCTTACACCGCCGAGCTAATGGACGTGTCCTCGCCTCCCCCCCCCCGCCCCCCGTAAAACCCGTCTGTCAGTGACAGTTATTGTTCTCCTGGCAAGAACTTCTCACGTGTTTTTGCGACGACGACGACGACGACAGTTCGACCGTCGATTTCGACCATGTCCACCGTGTGCCCCACGACAGAAGGAGAGCAGGGACGGCGACTTTCGCCAGAATTAGTCTATAGTGCAGTGAACATGTGCAGTCTCTATCTCACTCTATCCTCCCACTTGGAGGTGGTAGGTGGGGCGTGCGGCTGTTGTGGCCAGATCCGACCCAAGGCGTGCCGCAACACCCGCCCCGAATATCACACAGTGGGAGTGCCATAGGGGCCACACTAAGGAACCATTGCATCCTGAGTCAGTCCAGGCAACAAGGAAAGTGGTGCGACTCGGCTCCCAGTGGATAGACCTGTCATAAAGGCCATGTTAAGTAAAAGACGTTGCAGTCTGACTCCCCGCCCACCAGTTGAAAACTCCACACAGACACACACACTGGGCTGACTGCGAGATCCTAGCTATCTCGTCTGTTGGCAATCTTCCAAGCCACGGCTTTTAGCGCACCATTATAGCTTGAAGCACGTCAGATTATAGTGAGGAAAGTGCGCCGAGACGTCGACCTCTCTCTCTCTCTCTCTCTCGCCACCCCTAGGCACCAGTCCACTGTCCGAGCCGGTCAGACGTCTGTTGCTGGGAGTGAACGCACGTTTTTCTATATACACACACCCACTTGTTTGACTTCCATGGAAAACTGTTTTTCAGCTTCAAACAGAAACATTAGACTATCGTCAGCATTTGCCGCTTGTGCCTCTACCCCCAGATGTATCTTTTTGAAGGCGAAATTTTCGGAGTTTCCATCGACCCAACAAATGTTAAGCGGGCCTGAAATGCGTTCTGTTCTTTGCGGCGCCGACCATACCGGAGCCCGGCTTCTAGCAGCTTAGGGACTACAATCCAACACCTCGTAAATGTGATACACTCTGCACGGAGATCCCCAGCTTTCCAGCGAATTCTCCGGCCTCTGGAATAGAAGATTATTTCTGTCAGGCTTGTGCTGACAACTGGCAAGGAAGCGTCTTGATCAACTTTATGGAGCCCGCTAACATGAAGTCTCCCTGGTGGCCTTGAGGAGAGCCATCTGTCGCTTTCATGCATGCAGATATTGTGGCAACCTTCAATGAAGCTTAACCAGGCTCTTAGTTTTTCTAATAAGAAATTGCGAAACATGCAGTCGCACTACCGTCCGATGTGGCTGGGCACCGATCCACCAACTCTATTGCCGGTAGAAGCGCCCAAAGCCCTAAGCCTACTATGATTTGACTAATATTGCCCGAAAGACTTCATCCGTAGTCTGGCGTCATCCTGAAATTATGATTCGCACGAGCGCGTGGGACTTTTCAACTCTGATTCCAGGAATTCATCTGACCGTCAAGTGGCCCCATCCAACCGCTCTCGGGGGATCTACGATTTAGCGGAAGTTTTGGACGGTCGGAAGGTTTTGTTTCTATGCTCAGGCTTCCCAAAGACTTGGTGCCAAACAACGACGTTATCGGCCAGAGCTGGGCACATTCGATTGGCTGGTCGAAAATACGACGACCCGTGCTTCGGATCCGGATCGAAACCCGCTCCATCTGACGGGGTTGCCGAATATTTACTTCTTGCTCTCACGACACGTCTATTCCGGATACGTAGACGTGTCATCTATGCTACTAGACTGCTTCTTATTCCTCGTGGGTGGTACCTAAAAAATAATTATGCGCTGTTCGTCGCTTAAGAAGTAGGTCGTTACCGATTGCTTACAGGCATGCCCATCTATTTCGCCCGTTACGCTTGCACGATAAATTGGCCCTCTCTCCTCACACACGTTCACCCTACCCACCCACCTACCTATCCGCGCTCTCGCTAGGTCTTCATGCCGTAAAGTTCGGCTTTTTACCCATAATTTCATATTTTTTGTATTTTCTTTCGCTCGTTTGCCGTCGATATTGGAATTAGCCTGCGGTTTAACGGTATCTGTCGGGAGCATGAATTCAATGCGAAAGTGTTAGCCGTGGGCATGGTAATTTTCCATCAGGCCGTTATGATTTATGTCAGAATATACTTACTACTTGTTGCGTTTTAGTAACAGTTATTTTAAAGCTGCCAACCCAGTCAATAATCGACACTGCCTCTTCACTGCTTCTCCATGCTCTCTAGGTTGGACTGGACCGCTCTGAAAATGTCTCGAAACATACTTGTGCCTGACTGCATCCTTTACGACTTGTTCGAGCAGGTCACTCTAGCGCTGGCAGAGGAGAGTCGAAGTGTCAGCCAGGCTGCGGTTGGCAACAGACCACCCATCTCCGAGAGCAGCTCTGTGCTGCCTATATTCACTGGCCGTGAGGAGATGAATCGAGTCGTCTTACTGAGCCTTGTACAAGCCATTTTGGCCTACGGTGAGCGTTTCTTTTCGAATTCCCTGTAATAAACTCCCCAGGATTATCGGTGCTTTGATGCATGGCTAGCAGGCCACAAACAACGGCTCTAACTGAACTCTCTTATTTCTTCTTTTTTTTGCTCTCACTTTAAGATCTCATTGAGGTCAACGGTATACGACTGATTCTGGAACTGCAGCTGGGTGTCTCGAGACAGTCACCGCGTTTGATGGATCCCAAGTTGCCGCCAATCATCAACCGCCGTCTGCTAACTCTTGACTTTGATTTCCGTCCTGTCGCTGCCGCTGCTGCTGCCGCTGCCGCGAGCGAAAGCAGTGCCTTCTTTGCGGGATCCAGCGCCGCTGGTACTGCCAGCGGGTTAAGATCCACGGAAGATCAGACCTTCACTGGTCCCGATTTCAATGGGGCTACCGCCACTGCTGATTGCTCCACCTCGCAGCTCGTCAATACTGTCCTTGAAGAGTACAGATCCCGGGTCGTCCAAGGTCACTGCTTTCTGTCCATCTATCTTCTCGATTTTTATTTTCGGAGCTTCACAATCACGCGAATTTTTGGGCGTCATTCTTACCTGACATCTCCCTGTCTGTTAGTCATGCAATTCTGGGTGCCATCCTGCTCATTATGTGCTTTCGTATGTCCGGATATATGAATTCCACTCTTTGAAATTATGAGCCTAGCCACATTGCTCGATGTAGAGATATGCACTCTGCGGATGTCTTCAGATATCGGTGTGAAAGCAGGGTTGAGGAAATTGAGTTTATTGTTCTCTTTTTCCCTGTCCGATTCTTGAGTCAGTCCTCGGTGGTTTGGGGACAGCTTACATGTGGATAAGAACCAATCAACTCCACACCGTGTCATCGCGAATGCTCCGGCTGATAGTTCTCCCGTCTTGGGCGGTGAGACCCATCACTATCCTGTCAAGGTCGCAGTGGTGACTCACGTGCACTAATGGGTTTTCGCGAGGAGGCTAGGGACAGCCTCGACTTCAGTCACTCTTTTCCCTCCCACAGGTACCAGTTAGGTCACTTGGAGGTGAGCTTGAGCGCACTGGTTCACATGATGTGTAGCCGCAGCCCAGTGTCCGCTAAATACTGCTCCCGATCTCACATGCGTCAAAGGTGCCATAGACGACGCATTGGGCAGAATCCACGACACCCTGACCGTCATTCTCGAGGGACGATTTACCCTCGTTTTTAACGCATCAGATTGATTATGATGAGGAGTGCACTGAGTTATCGCAAGGAGGGCACCTCGCGGTGGGCTGTTCAAGCCCATCAGCTGACCGGCGATGAGGCTGAGTGCGGCAGCTGAGGTGGTGTGAGTCTTCGTGTACCACGCGCCGCACACGGCGGTAGTTAAGTCCTCGGGCAGGCTCAGTTTGTAGCGAGCAGCCGTCATGACCGGTCTGGCGTCATTGTTCAAGACCTCGCTCCCTCATGGTCATCCACCATTTTGCTGTGAGCCGCTTCAGACGCGCTGACCTGAAGCCACTCGATCGACATCAGTTCGAACACAATTGCGTCCCCACATCGTCGCGGCCACCCATGCGTCACCCCGTGCAACTAGCAGAACAAACCACTGGGACACCCCCCCCCTTGGCAAATGCAACACGACGACAGTTCGACCGTCGATTTCGACGATGTCCACCGTGTGCCCCACAGCTGCGGCAGCGGTGGGAGCAGGGACGGTGACTTACGCAGGGGTTTATAGTGTCGGTAGACTTGCGTAGCATCTACCTACACTCTCTCCTCCTCCCCCGCCTGGGCCCGGTGTCAAGACAGAGTCAAGAAGACCGGAGACGGGGGAGGCCGCAGGTGGATGGCTCGGACGGATCCTCACCTTGGCGTTCCACCACACCCCCTGTTCCACACAACAATAACCAGGATTTCAACCATCACAAGAGAGATTTGGAGGCTGGCACGGCCGAAGCCGCACCTGGGCGTGCCGCCAACGCCTGGCTCGGATCCCACACTGTGGTAGGAGTGCCATAAAGGCCACATTAAAAAGGAGCCATTGCAGCCTGACTCTCAGACCGCCTCCAGTGAAGGAGGAGGTCCAAGGTACCCCGTCAGTTGGCAACCTTCCAAGCCACGGCTTTTAGCGCACCGTGATAGCTTCAAGCGCGTCAGATTGTTTATAGTGAGGAGAAAGTGCGCTGAGTCGTCGACCTCACTCTCCCTTCCCATTCCCACACCCCAGCCACTGTCCGAGCCGGTCAGTAGACTGGAGTGGGGAATGGGCGCGGTGGCTGACATGGTCGACTGACCATGACTGCGCGCGCCACAGCACGACCTGGCCCCGCATACACACAAACACCAGGATTTCACACAACGGGGGATGAACGGCGTGTCACTCACTTGCGTGAGAGGGCCGTGGAAGGTGCTACTTCGACCCGTCCCCAGCCCACCCGTCCGCCACTACACACAACACACACACACAACGTGACGAACTGCGTTAACCGAGAGCAGGCCTCAATCAGCAATTTTCCTATCCACGACGCTTGACGTGTCGGGATAGTCTCGGACACAAGTCACCCGTGCAGCCGAAGTCGCATGGGGACCGAGTCGAGATGCACACTTCCCACTTGCGTGGGAGGCGGCAGTTGGGTGCATGAGGTGTGTGAGTGTTGATTTCTGGTTGGGTGATGGTGTTAGGAGGTAGGGAGTGAGGGAATGTATGGTGTGACCGGCGGTTGTCTACCGCAGGTCGTCGTGGATGCGCATGTGGCCGAATAGACCCATGCGATGCGTGAAGGTGCGAGGGCAGTGTGGGCAGTGGAGGCGAGTGCGGTGGGTGTAGGTTGGTGCTTCAGGCACTGGTTCGCCAGTCTCTGTGCGATGGACTCGCAAGTGACCGACCAGGCCGATGCGTGAAGTGAAGGTGCGTGGACAATGTGGGCATGAGAGGCCGGCGGTGTCGGTGTCAGCTGTAGAGGAAGCAGTGGCGTTGGTGGTGGTCGGCGCGTGTGACGGTGGAGCGAGGATGGGTCTGGGCGTGCTGGATGTGTTGGATGTCGTGGCTGTATCGGAATTGTGGTCAATTCCGCTCTCGTGGATGCGCATGTGACCGAATAGGCCCATGCGATGCGTGAAGGTGCGAGGGCAGTGTGGGCAGTAGAGGCGAGTGCGGTGGGTGTAGGTTGGTGCTCCAGGCACTGGTTCACCGGTCTCTGTGCGATGGATTCGCAAGTGACCGACCAGGCCGATGTGTGAAGTGGAGGTGCGGTCACAGTGAGGGCACATGCAGTCCTGGCCCTCACGTCTGATGATGGAGGTTGCAGGGCTTGTGCCTGTTGTTATGCTAGGTTCGGCTTGGTGAAGTCGTGGGCGACAGACGCCGAAGCGGCCGTCGTTGTGGCAGTGAAGGAAGAAGAGGAGGAGTGAGGGGTGGTAAGGTCGGTGGCGTCGATGTCGGCTGGGGAGTGGTTAGTGGGTGCACAAGGTGGTGCATTGGGAGTGGGGCTCGGCGGGGTGGGTGTGTCAAGGCTGCGGTCAATTCCGTTCTCGTGGATGCGC